AGGGTGATAAGAACGAACGGCCGAAGGGGTGCTTGCACTTTCCGAGATCACTCGGAGTGTATACGAATGAATATACATATACAGAATGAAGGAAAAAGTTTCTCTTCGAAGAGTGAAATTTTACAAAATGTGAAAACTTTTTTCTATATATATATATTATATATCATGTATTATATATTATATATTATATATAAATATATATATATGTATATATATATTTACTGATCTATCTATATCTTTCCTCGCTAAACGATACGTATCGAGACGTCATTTTTGATATAAGAGAACAGAAAAATTGAATATTCTTGTTCTTTCTTTTTCTCTTTTTCCTTTTCTTTCTCAACAGAACTAGCATGCGATAGAATTATGATCGATCGACGGAAAAGCGTCTATCCTTGAAACGAATCGGACGATAATTTCAAGCAACGTGTTGCACTTAAAAGTTACTTTTTTGAATATTTTACCATATATATTTTATACATATATATATATATATATATACATATATGCATACGTATATGCGGATATTTATTGAATTTATTTGTAAAATCAATTGAATTCTTTCAATATAAACGACAAAGAAGATATACGAATCCTTGAAACAAACGATGTACGTATTAAAGTCAGATCAATGATCAAAGGAAACTCAAATGCCTATAAGGGGTCCCCGATGGTATTTAGCTCGTGGCGTACCAAACGCGCCGCATAAGCTACACTAATCGGACCTTCTGATAACGCGACACACACAATATACATATATAGATGCCATCTATCGAAGTACTCCTTGAACTCGAATCGAATCAGTTCTATGCTATGTAATGTCAAGTATCGTTATCGTTTCATTCGCTTTGAGAAGTGTATCATATATCGTATCGTGTCGTGTCGTGTCGTGTCGTATCGTATACGTATTCGTATTCGTACATATCGTATATCCTTATCGTGGAGAAAAGTTTCTTTCTTCTTTTTTTTTTTTTCTTTCTTTTCCTTCTTTCTTTCTTTTTTTCCCAAAACGCAAATGTGCTAACATGGAAGTTATAGAAGGGTAGAAAATTTTATGTTCGTTATAGGGGAGAGAGAGAGAGAGAGAGAAAGAAGGAGATTTAAGATTTTGAATATTTAGAAGGACACAAAAGCTTGTTCTTGGGAAACGCAAAAACGACATAAGACTCGCGAATAAATCCGGCGAGAGGCGATTAGCCAAATGCAAAGGAGGTGTTTCAACGACTACGAGTATTCTCTCTTTCTTTGGCTTTGCCAAAAGAGGCAGGTGGAAGTGTCGTATTTGTTTAAGTGCACGCGAGAAGAATGAGTTGGAAGATGTGAGAGGTAGAGAAAGTGAATGAGAAAAATACGAGTAAAAAGTGAAATAGATAAAACTCGTAAGTAATAGCAGTAAAGTAAGCAAAGAAGCAAGCAAGCAAACAAACAAACAGCAAGTAAGCAAGCAAGCAAGCAAGCAAGCAAGCAAGCAAGCAAGCAAGCAAGCAAGCAAAGCAAGTAAGCAAGGAACAAGCAAAGAAGCAAGAAAGCAAGCAAGCTTGGTAAAATGAACGGATAGATGATGCCGCGGAGTAACTTTTATTTCCTCTCAAGCTACGGGAGGAGTCAGAAGAGCGGAAGAAGAAAAAGGAGACTTTGGGTTGGCGAGTGATCCAAGGGAAAAGAGCTTCGTACCGAGAATGAGAAAAGGGGGTGTTGTACCTTCCAACCCCTTCGAGTTCCTTCGAGCGAGTGAGCGAGGAGAGAGAGAGAGAGAGAATCAAACTTACTTTCCACCTCTTCCCCTCCTCATTCTCTCTCTCTCTCTCTCTTTCTCTTCCATCTTCTTCGCCTTCTACTTAGAGTCTTCACGCTGTTAGAGCGGCACTCTACCTTTCCGATGTACCTTTGGTTAAGCTCCAACGTTTAAGACTCTTCGAGCTTTCTGTGAATGCACTCCTGGCTGCTGCTACTTTCTACGAATGGAACTCCGCCTCCGTTTAAAATATTTTTTTTCCTTTTTCTTTTTCTTTTTCTCTGTCTCTCTCTTTCTCTATCTCTCTCAAGTTTTTTCTTTTTTCTTTTTCTTTCTCCTTCTCCCTTTCTTTTTTTTTCTTTTTTTTTTCTTTTTTTTAATGCTATCTTCCGCTAAGTTCAAAGTTTACTTTCACAGCTCTCAGAGACCCTTCGAGTCTGGAATTATTCCTTAAATGAGAAGAATTAATTATTGTAAATATATATATATATATGAATGAATAAATTTATATATATATATATATAAATTTATTCATTCTGACATTGAATTTTCTCTTTAATTTCCTACCTCATATGTTTGGACATATTTTTCTAAACTAAATCGTAATCGATTCAATTGAATTACCGATGATTCTACTTTTATCTCATAATTATTTATTTCTTTTGTTATTTTCTTTTTTGCAATATTTCGACGTCAAAGTGTCTTATCGGAAAGGAGAGTGGGGTGGGGAGGATCTATAACACGATCCCATACACCGATTAAATTATAATTTGCAAGAATCGGAATCGGCGCACAAGTGCATTTTGATTGAAAGGAACCTTCGGTAAACCAGCCACGTTCGATGATTTTCAAGGGAGCAGAAGCCTAACGGAACGTTTCATTCGAAGGGAGATACATTCATCGATGCAACATGTACATATCTACGATTCGTGTTTCCACAATGTACATACGTATGTACATACGTATGTACATACGTGAGTCTACCGTAGTCCTCTCTCTAATGCTTTGGAAATGATTCAAATAATAAAACTTGGTAAAACATAGTAGCTCATGAAACATATAATAATTTCTAATCGATAAAATGTTATATTACAATTATATTAAAATGTAAATTATTTTCAAATATTGAAAAAAAGAAAATTCAATAAAAATCTTTATTTGACAATTAACTGATATAAGTAATTTTGTTAAACAATTTATATTTATATTTATATTTATATTTATATTTAATATTAATAAAAAGCATATCCACTTTCATAGATCTTAGGATTTTTTAAATTTTCTTTGTCTATCAAATATTCTCATATATCTGCATTATAGTTATCTAAACAAATAAACTATTTTATTCATGAACTCTATCTAGTAAACATTAACTCTGTCATTGGAAAAATTGGTGTAGAATGGGTATAATTTAAAACTAAAAAGAGAGACTCGATTTTCCACTCGCAAAAGATAGAGAAAGAGAGAGAGAGAGAGAGAGAGAGAGAGAGAGATGACAATTTTTCGCACGATATAAACACGGTTACCGGTACACAAAGGAGACGTAAGCTTAACTAAAAAAGGTGACAGCTATTCTTAGTTCCGTTCTCCGTCGCCTAAGGAGCAATTACCTTATTGTCCAAACGAGACACCTTTTTTTTTATAGTTGTACGATTGAAATCCTTTGTACCGTAGCTCTTTAAAAACATCTCGGTAGTCGGTGTGATTCCTTGCAAATGGTTCTTTTTTCTGTTTTTCATTTTCTTTTCCTTTTTCACATTTTTATGAGAGAATATTCAATCAACGAAAGAAATTTGATTTACTGCTTTCACAGTGTTCGAGAAATGATCGATAAACTTGTCTTGGATTATACCAATTACTTTTGATTGATGCCTAAATATAACGCCCCATAAAAGAGAGAGAAAGAGAGACAAAAAGAGAGAAAGAGAGAGAGAGAGAGAGAAAATAAGCCTTGCTTTCCATAGAAAGGAAAAAAAAAAAAAAAAAGAAAAAAGAACACCCAACGCGTACTCTGAATTCTGATTAAAAAGCATAAAATGTAAGATAACAAAAATAAATAGATAAAGAAATTAAATGAAAAGAAAAGAAAAGAAAAATTAAAAAAAAAAAAAAAAGAAAAAAAAAGAAAGAAAAAAGTATAAAAACAAAACAAAACAAAATAATACTCGAAAGGAATAAAATGAATTGACAAAATTCCACATTATACGTCCTCGTTTAGATTAAACACGTAAGCGAGAATAGAATTTCGGTGAAGGAGCAAAAGAGGGAACCTTAACTCCAGTGAAGTCACATGAAAGGGGTAAAAGCGCAGTTGTAGAGCAAAAGTGGGAGTTAAAATTTTCATTCGACTCTCTCTTCTCTCTCTCTCTCTCTCTCTCTCTCTCTCTCTCTCTCTCTCTCTCTCTCTCTCTCTCTCTCTCTCTCTCTTTCACGCTTTCTCTTTGGCGGGTAGCAAGCAAAGCTCGTAGTACTCGCACACACGTGTGCGAACGTCTCGATATGAGGGTGTGCGTGCCGAAGAGAAGAGAAGAGGAGAGGAGTAGGTATGGATGGGTGGGTGACTGGCTGCCTGACTGGAGGGGTAGGAATAGCTACCATTCGAGTATTATTGCGGTACTGGCTAGTAGAGGGTGAGAGCAGCGAGGGTAGGATATATCAACGGTTGGCGTTTATGTGGCGACCAACTGTCGAGTTAATATTCACGCGATTCGGAGCTGACCCCTTCTTGCACCCTCCTCTGTTTCTCTCACTCTCATCCACTCCCTCTCCCTCTCACTCCAATTCACTCACTCACTCACACTCTTTATGAGGGAAGTCACGTCGACAGCATAGAGAAATTCTCGATTTCCACTTTCATCTCTCTCTCTCTCTCCCCCCTCCTCCTCCTCCTCTCTTCTTTCTCTCTCTCACTCTCTCTCTCTTTGAAACTGATCTTCATCATTTTAACATCTTTTTCTATTTTTTTTCTTTTTTTCTTTTTTCTTTTTTTTTTTTTTTTTTTTTTCTTATGATCCAGAAATAAACTCGACAAATATTCAAACATTGACTAGCTATATGCCGTATGACATTTCAAAAGTACCAATTTCTAAATTAATTTTAATTATGTATTGTAAAATAGAAATGAAAAATGTACCTTGTATCGTCTACGACATTTACATATAAAAGGTACAGGGACGCGTATCAGCTTAAAGCAACATTGTCTTTTACGTGACTCAATATGAAATTATCATTCTTTTTTTTTTTTTCCTTTTTATTTTGATTACAGCACGCATGGCGCATGGCCCACCCTATGGCATGGCATCACGGGACCTCGTTACTTGTTTCCTTCTCACAGCCTTCCTCTACTCTAGTTTCGGTAAGAGACAAATGATACGTAAGTACCAACGTCGCAAACTTGCTTTATTCTCTTTCTTTCTTTCTCTCTCTCTCTTTCTATCTCTATCTCTGTGTTATTTATACGATACTTCCTTCTTTTTTTATTCGACTGAAAATAAAGTAAGCAAAAATTGAATAGTATAGTAACAAACTTGGTAGAGGTTTTCTTTGTGTGACTAGAGATGACAGAAATAAATCTGACTCTCCAGACTGCTTCTCTCTCTCTCTCTCTCTCTCTCTCTCTCTTTCTCTTTTTGTTTTTTTTTTTTTTTTTAATTATCTTCTCTCTTGATTTGTTCCACTTTCGAGATAAATCGAACGAAATCTTCTTAAAGGTACTATCGAAAGTTTTTGGAGCTTCTGTAAAAGTGCATCGATACGTACGTATAAATCGATATAAGTCGCGGTAATTAACGGAAAGAAAAATAAAAAAAAAGGAGAGAAAAAGAAAGAACAAAAAAAGAGGGACAAACATTATGATTTTTTTTTTCTCGACTCGAATCGAGATTGAGCTGCCACTAAGAGGGGATGATATCGATCGTTCAACTTCGAAAACATTTTCAAAAGGTACAAGAAGTCCATTCTCGATTATTCAATCGATCTCGAAGTAACTCGTGAGAAAAATCCAATCAACAAAGTTTGACTTTTGATAGAGACCAAAGAATGGATCGATTTTCTTCTTAACTAAAGAGCAACGTAACGAGGGAACATATTATTAGTTTTCATTTTGTCATTGATTTCTGTTTTGAAGTAATTGAACTGTACGTGATCAAATCGCACAATGTGTTTAATAAACTACTTTGAACAAGACCTGCTCATTCACGTCCATTCTTTAACATAACTATATAAGAGGGAGGAAGTAGAGAGAGAGAGAGAGAGAGAGAGAGAGAGAGAGAGAGAGAGAGAGAGAGAGAGAGAGAGAGAGAGAGAGATAAATTTGGATGGAATTCGAATAGTCGACGGTAAATCGTTATTAATCCGAGCCACGATGGATATTCAACGAAGGATATTAATATGTACGTTGGCACGTGTGACGGATCAGATTAAATTAGACGACGGAGAGAAGTAGGTTCGGATTGTGAACACGTCGCTAGTTTATACATACTTCGATTTAAGAGATTATTCTCTTATATTTCTGATCGAAAGATTTGAAATTCTTTTTTTTCTTGCTGTCCCTTGTAGTTTTACTTCCTCCAAATATACGACGACAAATTTAATATCAACATTTAACAACTGCTGATATTAAAAATATAAATATATTAAATGTAAACAGAGTCGTCGAGATCAACTTCTATGTCGATACAATTTTAACAAAATATTTTTACAAACATGGAGTATTTGAATTTTGTGAACAACAACAACAACAACAACAACAACAACAACAACAACAATAATAATAATAATAATAATAATAATAATAATAAAGTTCGAATATAAAATATAAAAGCAATTTGAAATTATTAGATTTAGCTTGTACGTCAACAAGATTTTACAAATATATTCTTGTAAAATACTCCATATTTTTTAAATATCGCAAACAACAACAACAACAACAACAACAACAACAACAATAATAATAATAATAATAATAATAATAATAATAATAATAATAATAATAATTTCCACACTAATTATGGAATAAAAGTAATAAAATGATAACAAGGTTAGTGTAAAGCAATAAGATGGGAGGATCGAGTTTTAGATCGATATCGTCTAACGGCTAATCGCATGATGCAGGTCAAACGTTGCCAAAGTCGGAGATACAGCCGCAGTTTCTGGCACCTTTGGAGAACCATACGGTCACTCAAGGCCGTGACGTCTCCTTCACCTGCGTCGTTAATCATCTTCAATCTTACAAGGTAATTGCATCTGGGCGTAGGTTTAATTAGTTAGTCGATTAAGGCCGGCGAGGCCTAAATCGTATAAGTGCTGGCCTAAATCGCGTTTCCGTAAATACACGACGTGTTTCAGACGGATCGCGCATTATCCATAATAGCTATCCACACGGACTATCTATGTGTGTGTACATGTATACTAGTAATAGTAATAGTAGTAGTAACATAGACACTCTAACACTAAATCTAATCTAATCTATGGATGCGGATGGATAGTTACCATGCTAGGAAGATATGTACAAGAGACATACAGAGAGAGAGAGAGAGAGAGAGAGAGAGAGAGAGAGAGAGAGAGAGAGAGAGAGAGAGAGAGAAATAGAGAGAGAATGTAAAATAAAGAAAGAGAGAAATAGAAAACGATCCTTTTGTGATATAGACAATTTGGAAACAAAAACAAAAAAATATATATGTATAAAAAAGCACGGATCGAAAATCAACTACAAAAAGTAATTTACTTTGTAAAATAAGTCAGAGTTTGATTAAACGTTAGAATCGATAATTGCTTCACAAAGTGTACAAGATCTCGCAAAAGGAAAGTGGTAATAAGTAAAGATTGAAGAGATGGTAGTCGAGCCGAATTATACTTTCGAGGAATGTAAAGAATACGAGAATGTAGAGGGGAAAAAAAAAAAGGAAAAGGAAAAGGGGAAAAGAAGGTTGAAAGAAAAGACATAAATCAAGAGCCACTAATATAAAATCTTAAGGTTACACAAGTTGAATGAGCTTGATTTTTCTCAATCGATTCAAATTTTACTTACTTTCTTTTGTTAATCCCTTCCCTCTTTCATCCTTTCCTAACCATTCCTTTCTCTCTTTCTCTTTTTTACCATATTTTTGTTGAATGGATATTTCTTTTCACGTATATTTATTGTTTATAACAAAAATACTACTCGCTCATTTATCATATCTTATTATTTATTAATTGTGTTTTATTTGGTTTTGATATAGGTTTTCAATTTTGGAAAATTAACATAGTAATATCCTTCGTCTCTATCACGAGCTTATTTTTGCTGTATAGCAAGGAGAAAGGGAGAGGGAGAAGGGAAAAAGAGAGAACGTTCCAACTTATAACGAGGTAACCATTCTACATCAATTGGATTTATTAAAAATTTGTAAGATTCCGGACTCTAAAAAACGTTTTCAAGTTTTATCGGATATTAACGAATTGATATGACATCGAGGAGAACCAACGTAGGACGTACGTTGATGAGAAGTCGTATCGTTGCCGTTTTATATCATATATATATGTATCATCCTCTTTTTACGCCTTCGTATTTATTTCTTTTTCTTTCTTTTTTCAAAGAGAGAAAGTTTTAATTAAAAAATGGTTATTTGTTTGCACGACGTATATCGCGAATGCGTATACACCTTTTTCGTGTATTCTATTTGAACGAAATATAACTTGTGACAAATGGCAAAGAATATTTGAAATTTAAAAAGAGCGTCCACAAAAAATATATCCTGTTATGGATATTTACCTTCAAATTTATCGTTATAATTCGATAAAATAGATTAAACTTAAAGGATAAAATTTGCTTTTCGATCCGGTCTATTTTTTGAGAAGGAAGAAAAAAAAAAAGAAAAGAAAAAGGAAAAACGAAAGAGGAAAATAAAAAGAATTTCCTAACGCATATCATTCGTTTTATTATTCTACAAGACAGGTCGTTAGGATTTGATGAAATTTTAACCTACTATATCACTTTTACGTACCTATTGTGTGTGTGTGTGTGTGTCTATATAATCAAAAATTATATAACGTGAAATTGATGATATAACGTATATTAGTACGATTCTCTTGTACTAATAACAATAAATATAATTATATTATGTGCTAGCATCAACTTTCGTAAAATATGAAGTAAAAAATGTTATATTCTTTCCCGACGAAAAAGAACAAAGATTTAAAAAATATACATATATGAATATGCGTGATTTGAAAATTGGATGACGTTATATTAAAGGTTAAAAACTTATCGTTCGAATTTTAATTCTATCGACGGATGCGACGAGTGTTAATTGGTAAACATTGGTAAATACTTTTTACAAGAATCCTGATGCGATATTTCGTTCACGGTTACTTCTGTTTCCTGTATTTGCTTCATTTGAAAAAAAAAAAAAAAGAAAAAAAAAAGAACGGGGGCGAGGTGGGGAAAAGGGAAAAAATAACCCTTTAACTAGCGCTGGTACCATTTTTCTAGCGTTTGCTAAGTAAAAGCCAAAAACCATGCGATTGTTCACACTCTTTTTCTCTCTCTCTCTCTCTCTCTCTTTCTCTTGACTCTCTTTTTTAACTATTCGGCTTTTAGCAGCAATATGCGGCAAGCTTTACACCATTCATCCTGAATGGCTCTCGTTACGGTTGGTACGAAGTAACGAGTCATACAATTTGCTTTTCGTTCGAGTGTTTTAAGAGAAGAGTGTTTGCTTGAAAAAATACTCCATGACTTCTATTCCCATTATACATACACACACACACACACACACACACACACACACATATATATATATATATATTTAAAAGTATAATTATTTTGTGTCAACATAGTGAAAGTCGTTTCGAAACTTAATTAAAGGTTTATTACACGTTCCACCACATCGGACAACGCCATAAAGATTTATCTTAGTACTTGGAACACGTCAAAGAATCATAATCTTTTTCATCCTACAGATTGCCTGGATAAAATCAGATTCGAGGGCTATCCTAGCTATTCACACTCACATGGTCGCTCATAACACACGGCTCTCGGTAACTCATAACGGACATAACACCTGGAAGCTTCACGTGAGCAACGTTCAACCGAACGATTCTGGAACTTATATGTGTCAGATTAATACGGATCCAATGAAGAGTCAGGTTGGTTGAAAATCGATTAAAAATCTCAAACATTTCGAACTGAATGAACGCTTTTTTTTTCTTTCTTCTTTTTCTTTTTCTCCTCTTATACCATAAACGATCTCACATTTTCCTCGCGTTTTATGCTATTGTTTGAAACTTTTATCTTGGAATATGCGTATATAACAGAGAATGTCGGGATAAAGTATGGTATGTTATGCTATGCTCGCTCGATATTTTCTTTATAAAAATTCCAAGATATAGATAGGACTGTTAGAAGAACCGAATAAATTTTAAGAAGCTCCAACCGCTTTACTATTTTCTTCTATAAGAAATATATATGTATATACATACTAAATATTTCGCTTTCGATCGTTTACCAAGAAATAGAAAGAAAAAGATAACGAGAGAGGTAGAGGTAGAGAGAGAGAGAGAGAGAGAGAGAGAGAGAGAGAGAGAGAGAGAGAGAGAGAGAAATTCTTTTCTTACTTTTACGAATCACTTGAATCATTAATGATCTAGCATTTTGAAAAAAACTTCTAAAGGACAGTCCCTCTTACACGTACACACACACACACAGACAGAAAAATTCTGCTAGATCCTTTACCAGTTCTATTATATTTATATTCAGATTTAGCTGCTTTCTCTTCGACTCTAAAACCGAACTTAATGGTAAATCTCGACCGAGCAATCGCAAGAGTCGAGTTTGAATAGAACGAATGTATGTATAATATGAGAGGGAGGAAGAGTAGACACGTAGGATAGTAGACAGACCCTTTTACTAGCTATCATATATAAATAGTAGTAATAGTAGTAGTAGTAGTAGTAGTAGTAGTAGTATGGGATAGTCAATCAGTAACGAACGTTATACAGACGGGCTACATGAAAGTAGTGATACCACCTGATATCATGGATCTCGACGACTCGGCCGACCTTTTAACGACTAAGGAAAGCAACGATCTGCGATTACGATGTCGTGCCACAGGAACACCTAAACCTACGGTCACCTGGCGAAGGGAGAACGGACGTGAAATTACTCTGAGAAGCGAGTTAGGTGTTAAACGAGGTATCTTCTCTTACTTTCCCTTTATCCGTCCATATACAACTGTATATAGAGATACAAGGTATATGTTGATTATGAATGACGTATACATGCTTTACAAGATCAAACAAATTTACTAAAAGAAAGAAAGGAAGGAAGGAAGGAAGAAAGTGAGAGAATGTTAAACACATTGTTGACCAATTACATACGATATTATCATTATTATATGGAAAAAGTAATGCGTTCCAAGCTGATTGTGTCTCGTTATTAAATTAAAAATCTTTATTGGCACTTTATCTACCGATTGTGAATTAACTCGATAACGTATTAACAGACCCTACATGCTTTTCGTTTATTATCGCGCGCGAATGTGTGAAAAAAAGGTTAATAAATAAATAAATAAATGAATAAATAAATAAAAAATATTAATACTCGTTCATACGGAATCTAATCGTTCGAATCATTAATAAACTGTATCTCCTTTTTATTTCGCGATACGACGGCGACTTTCTTTTTCTTTCTTTTTTTTTTTTTTTTACGATAAAAATTTCCTATTCGGTTTTCACGAAAAAGAAGAAAAAAGAAGAAAAAAAAAAATATATATATATATATAAATAAAAAGGGGACAAGCCAACGACGTGATAGATTTGCAACGACAATATATTTTCCATGTAGTCATCATCGTCGAGACTTTTTCGAGTAGCGATGAAAAGGCCGACTCCAGTAGGTTCACGATGTCCCGCAGAAAAGCAGCCATCCGATTAGCCTTTCTAACAGTGAGTGATGGATGTTGACTTTACATATATTTCCTCTCTGCCAAGCCCATCGACTCTTCGCCTATCCGATTGCAATATTCAGTGTGTACATTGCGTCGCGAGAGTGTATACCAGGCCGGTATCTCCATCGTACCAGCGATTCCCGCGATTTTCCTTTAAAATCTATCGACAGTAGCGTGTAATGTCTTTATTAGTTTGTGCATCGTTCCAAGTGCTTTCCAACTTTTTCTCACTTTTCTCACGGAAAGGAATATATTGGATTTTTATTTTGCCCTTCGCGTAAAGTAATCAATCCGAATGATCGCATTATTTTTACACTTTTTTTTTTTTTTTTTTTTTTTTTTTTTTTTTTTTTTTTTTTTTTTTTTTTTTTTTGGTATATACATATCTCAAATAAGACGTATAAGATAAAAAGCAAAAAAAGAAAAAAAAAACAACGATCAAAAGTCGCTAATTTATCAAGTGTTTCAAGCATTATTTTTTTTCCATTTTATTATTATTATTATTATTATTACAAATGCGCGGTTAAATTCGTTTAAAGATTTGTTTTATTGATAGTTCTGCATTTTTTACCTATACCTAGGACGGCTCTTAACATTGAATAAAATTATATTCCCAAAGTACAATCCTACGAGGGCGAACAACTGCATTTAGTGGGAATCTTACGGCAAGAGATGGGCCCTTATTTATGCATAGCCTCGAATGGTGTACCGCCAACAGTTAGCAAAAGATATCACGTTAATGTCCTTTGTAAGTTGTGAGAAATAGAAGAACATGAAGAATTTAGAAAAGAAAATCGAACGATTAATAACAAAGTATTTATTACTTACAGTTAAGCCCTTGATCAAAGTGACGAATCAATTGGTGGCTGCACCGACGAATAGCAACGTTATTCTGCAATGTTATGTAGAATCTTCGCCTAAGGCCTCGAACACGTGGTACAAGGACAACGGTGAGTTTCAAGGAATAAACATCAAACGTCCGTCTGTAAAAAAAAAAAAAAAAAAGAAAAAAGAAAAAGACAAAAAGAAAGAAAACAGAAAAGAACATTCTTATAGGAATCAAACTTTTGACCAACGACAAGCATAACGTATCAGAGTTCACAGTAAATGATTACGCGTATCAATTGAATCTTACGATCAAACAGCTAAGCCGAAATGATTTTGGTAGTTATATTTGTTCAGCGGAGAATCCATACGGGAAAGCAGAGGGTACGATAAGACTTCAAGGTAACGTAACGTAAGCCACATACACACACACACACACATATATATATATATATATTATATATACGTATGTTCGTCGAGGAGAATGGGAGGAAGGGGCGAATACTCCCATTTCTAATAAATAGGTATTCGTGAGAATGTTGGCCCAAGGGCCTGGATAGCTTATTGGTCTAAAACAATCGTGCGTATTCGAATCTTGATCCAGATGACCCAAAGGCCCAACTTTTTTTGCGAATCCTATACATATGTTCTTTGAAATTCAAAGAAACAAAGAGAAATATATAAAAATAGATAGATAGATAGATAGATAAATAGATGGATAGAGATTTTCCATAAAACGCTTACAGAGTTGCATCTGTCGAAGACGACAGTGCCGACAATTCGCAATACCGAGTCCGCCGAGAGGCAAAACTGGAGAAAGCAAATCGAGAGAAAGGGAGGAAAGAAGTATTTGTACGCGTTAGGACGAGAGGTCGGTAGTACGAATTCGACACAGAGAAATGTCGTAAGTTGGACGCAGACCACGCCGATCTCAAGAAGAAATAACTCCAACTCACTGCCAAGTGTCGTCCTCACAAAGAATTCTAAAGTTTTATCCTCCTCCTCCTCCTCCTCCTCCTCCTCCTCTTCATCCTCTTCGTCTTCTTCTTCCCCTTATCCAGCGCCGGCACCTGCGCCCGCACATTCCGCACCGACCCAACTGGACGCACAGAGCGATGCTACGAGCACGCGATATTTTCGATCGGTTCATCAGCTTCATCTGACGGTCGTCGTTCTCCTCTTTGCAATGACGTCGTCTTATTGAAGATTATTAACGGAAAAAAAATTTTCAATGGTTTTTGTTAAAACATATTTGTAGTTCAAGAGAATCTAACATGGTTTCTTACGTGATTTCTTTTTTCTATTTCTCATTTTTTTTTTTTCTTCCTTAGGAGAACATTATAATGCACGAAAGTAACTACGATTCGTGCTGTGATGTACATAAAAACAAAACGAAAAAAGAAACATTTTTATGACAATAACGATAGCTCCAATGTGTGATCAGTCTTATTTTCTTCCAGTAAAAAGGCTCCCTTTCCTTCGTTTTGATACAAAATTCTTGATACTCCTGTTGCCTGTAAAAAAAAAAAAAAGAAAAAAAAAAATAAATAAATAAATAAATAAATAAATAAATAAATAAAAAAAGGAAAAAATAAAAAAGAGCCTGACTATCTGACTTTGTGTCTCTGATAATGACAATGTCTGACTGTCTGTCTCTGATTATTTCTTTTATTTCGTAAGATTAACAGAGAGCTGAATATGTGCGAAATGGAATCTCTTTCAAATTTGCCCAAGATGAATTATCCACTTTTATGTATATACGCATGACAATAAATGTTGTTTGTATTATATATAATGTAATTCGTACGATCTTTCCCTGTTTTGAAAATAAAAAAAGAGAAAAAAAAAAGAGAAAAAAAAAAAAAAAAAGAAAAAATATTACACTAGAAAATTTAAGAGGATCGTGAAAATGATAAAGTGTCCGGAAGTTTCAGACAGATAATAATGTTATCTGTCCATTGAAGAGAGGAATGAGAAAGAGAACACCCACTCTATGTGACTACATAACTGATAAATATGATACAAATATTCAGTTAGTCGTGAGATTTGTTAACGTGACAAGGTTTTCAACGTAAAGCAGAAAAAAAAGAAAAAAGAAAAAAGACAAAAATGAGGTGTCATTTCTTTTTCCTCCTCTTCTATTTATTTGGATATGCCTGGTCGGAGGAAACATGTCAAACGATAACATCGAAAATGGCGAAAACAGTGACCTTCGATTGTACGGAATTGAACACGTTACGAGATCATTTGGATTCGGCACAAATTAATACAACGAACATAATAATACACGGATCTAATCTAATTAATATAGCCGGGTGAGCATAATGATCTTGAGATAGCAATGTCATAGTTAAAACGTAAATAATTATATATACGATAGCAAATGTATGTAAAAACATTTTTCTATTCGAAGGCATACCTTCGTCAGATTCGGTGCAACATTACGAGTTTTGGATCTCCACGAAAATAATATTGAAGCTTTAGATCGTCAAGTATTTACAGGATTAATAAATTTAAATGAACTGATCCTATGGGGTAACCGATTGACATGGATATTCAGTGATTGGTTCGTAAATTTATATAATCTCCGAACTCTCGACTTATCGTTCAATCTAATACAAAGCATAGATTACAAAATCTTCCCGTTGCTTTACCGCGTGGAAAACTTTTACATAGATTATAACAACTTGAAAGCCATTGATTATAACTTGTTCGTCTATATGGTGAACCTTAAAAAAATTAAATTCGGTAAAAATCCTTGGAATTGGGGGTAAGTAGAAGAAAACGATTGTATTATTTTTTGAAGTAAATTAAAAAAAGAAAAAAAAAAAAAAAAGAAACTTTATGTTTACTAACATACTTGTAGATATCGTGCTTTACTGACCTGGGAAATGGAGAACCGAAACATTGATTACTCTAGCGAATGGGATGATTGGAATTGGATGAGCAACGTGATAAAAGATTGCACGGAAAGTGGCGAGGGTGAAATTCCAAGTGATAGTGTAATCGATTGCGCTGTCAGGAAACTGTTGGACTTTACGTACGATACTTTGCACTTCTCTCCTATTGGATGGACAAACGATGTTGGATGCGCTCCGGAAGCCAGGAGATTGATCAGCTGCGTAAGACCACGGAATGTTACTGAAAACACGGATTATCAAACAATACGTATGATCCTTCAAGATTATAGTAGAATTTTACTTCCCATGATACGAGCTCATAGTCCATTAAGTTATACCTCTAATTCCGAATTGTAATTTTTTATATATTTATATATATATACGTATATAAAAATGTAACTACATTGTTAACAAAAGTATTACTCGAATACATAAACGCAAATATATATATATATATATTGATAATCGTTAAAAGATCTACAATATTAATGAATCAATTTGTCCATGATATATATATATATATACAAATATATATTAACATTTCGTAACAAATACGACACGTGTGTATATTTTTAAGGCGTTACAATCTTCCAACTAAATGGATAATGGCACGCGAGTGAATTTGTATAGTTTTGCTTGTCCCTTTTCTATCGTTTTATCCCCACCATCGTTACATTCTCATTTCACGTTGTCACAAAAGCGAGAGAGCTTTCTTCTTTCGCGTACGCTCTTTTCTTTGTTCGCCTGCTAGTGGAAGCGACGACGACGACGACGACGACAAATGAACTCGATACGTAAACATAGAGACAAAGTGGGAGAGAGGATAGGAGACAGAGGGAAAGAAAGAAGAAGGGAGAGGGAGGGAGCTAGGCGAGAATAAACACGTTTACTGGGAGCACGTTTCTGTTTTGAAATGTTTTGTTAACAGAGTCACGGAAATGTCAATCTAATTGTACTAACCTTTAAAACTAGTTTCATCATTTGCAATCATACAACTTGTAAATTCTTCAACTTGGTGTTTTCAATAGAAATTATATCTCACAGAGAGCCCTTATTTATCAATGTCCTGCTGTAATGGTGATATAAGTTAATATATTTTACATCGTTATAACTTAATTAAAAGTTTCTGTCGGTAAAATGGATCTTACGTAAAATAGGATGTAGATGTCATTCTCTGATTATCACAATTCGAACTCTCGATGGACGTCTAACGAAGATTCGTACTCATTATTCCGAGACAGTTGAATCTTTGAAGCAACGAATTGCTTGTATTTATCAATCCCAAAGAAATCAAGATTGGCCACCAGAGAGAATAAAATTATGGATCGATGGTTACTATTTAGAAAACAATCGTACCTTGTCCGATTATAATTTAACTTCCAAAGATAAGATCATTATGCAATTTTGTTAATAACGATTACACGTACAATTGATTCGCAAAGACATTTATTATTCGAGAATGTCTATTAAAAAGAAATTAACATGAAAATTCTGATTATATTTCCCCGTTGTCATAATTCTTATTGATTTATAATATATAACATAAATGTCAAGTATAAAGAAATTAAATTAACGTTTTGAGTGTACTTATACAAACATTGTAAATAAATTAAAGACTTATTTAGATATTTCAAAATAAAGCGATTAGATGATACTTTCCATTTATAATCTTGGTTTTTTAAACTATATATAATTAAATGCAAGATAAAAGTTCATCGAGCAAAAAAGAAACATGGATAAAAAAGTGAATTAAAAAAAGAAAAAAAAAAAAAAAAAAGAAAACAAAAAAAAAACAAAAAGCAGATACTTTTTCTAGTTGGAGATTTAGCAATCTCGCACACACTCATATATATATATTTTTTTTATAATGATCTATTTCTTATATGATGAACTTCTTACGCTAAGAGTGAATAACATTATATATATATATATATATATCATATAAAACAACGATAGGACATTAGAATTTCAGTATAAATCTAACTTAAGAACATTCTATGTAGATGATTAATGATTCTGTAAATACATTTGTGATTAACATTAATAATAAAACACATTATTTGTCATGGCACATCACCGGAGTAAATAATGATTCACCTATACATTTCTAAAAATTCAAGTAGATTCTTCCTAAAGCGATGCCAATCAATCAATTTGCTTTTAAATAGATTATTAAAAAACACACCAAAACCTTATAAAAAGTTTTTGTCCTATAGAATTTGACGTTCAATTTGATAAAAATCAAGATATTATCATTATTTTGACGTTTCATCAGAAAGTAAAAAATTGTGATATTATGTAAATGTAAAATTCAAAATTACATGAACATTCGTGCGAATATATTTGATCAATTTAGAATCTAATGATCGAGTAGCCAATTTATAAATAAAAAAAAAACAGATAAATAAATAAATAAAAAAAAAAGGTGGAAAAAATCAATCTCATTTGAAAATTACTATTGGCTATCGTTAATTCCTCGTAGATTTCTACGACGCACATTATACCGATTGTAATAAGAAATTAAAAACTTCCGTTATTAAAAGCATTATAGAATTGTTTTTCCAATGTAAAAAACGGCATTCTTTGTATCCCATCAAATTCCATATTTTGTTTCGTGTAATCTTGCCCTATATCCTGTATGGCTGTATGATTGAAAAAGAAAAAAAGAAAAAAAAAAAAAAAAAAAGAAAAAAAGAAAAAAAAAAGAAATACAAAACAATGATAAATAAATAAATAAACGTGTAATTAAAAAGTAGCAATTAAAATTATACAAAAAAAAAAAAAAAAAAAAAAAAAAAAAGAAAAAAACGACAAAAATAAGATCGTTACATGAGTGAAAAAATCTTACCGGAATTGTTCAATGATTTAGACAAGTAATGATACATTTTTAAAGACGTTGTACTAATTGCTTTATGTTTCGTTGACATTATATCTCCGTGATACTCTAGAAGCGTAGTATGTGCTTTGAAAACTGTTATCTGTAAAAAAAAAAAAAAGAATCACTGATATGACATTGTAATGGTAATTATAAAAAAAAAAAAAAATAATAAAAATAAAAATAAATAATAATAATACGAAAAAAAAATATTGCAAAGGAATACGTGTGCGATACGAAAATGGGAAGACAACGCGTTAGTTTCAAGAGAACGATCTAGAACAGCAACTTTATATGTATATATTCGCTGAAACCTCTCCCTTCTCTCCCCACCACCGCCCTATCGCACGAAAAGTTTCTCGAATTACTATATACTTGGAAAATGCGACGAAATCCTCCCAAGAAATCGAAAACGTATTTAACTATACCATACAATGTTCGCAGTTAAAGAATATAATCATGAGGCAGAGAATATAAATGGTTCTTTTTTTTTTTTTCTCTTTTCTTTTCTTTTCACGGCCAGACATAACTCTAAATACATACGTACGTATGTGTAATTTGTAAAAAAGAAGAGAAGTCGATATTATCGTTGGTGACTTTCTTTTTTTTCTCTCTTTTCTTTTTTGTTTTTTATCCTACCAGATGTGACCGAGAAAAAATAGAGTGTGACGTGTGTGCTTGCTGCTGCTGCTGCTCGTTATAAAAGAGAAAAAGGAAAAAAAAAAAAAAGAGTAACAATTATTCAATGTTTTTTACGTTTTTCTTTTTTTTCTCTCTTTTCTTTTTGTTTTCTTCTTACTCTCTTTTTTTTTTTTTTCTTTTTGTCACTTTTATAATTATAATTTGCAAAGTTTCTTCACATATCACAAATATGTAATAATATTAAATTTCGACTTATCGTCGATCGATCAATCCAATCGTACCTAATAATAATATTCTATATTTATGTTTTCGAGTAAATACGAATTATAATATTGTTATAATTAATTTATTTCTCTGCTCACCTTACAAATGAAGCCTGGTGCGTCAAGAGCTCTCCAACATTCGAAGGAACACATTGCACCTAACTTTTCCTTAACCAAACTTTGTAAGGCGATGACGTGAGCGGTACCCTTATTACTGTTTTCTTCATATACCTCTGGAAGTGCTTGGAGATAATAATTCTTTGACAATAATGGCTTGAAACGAGCATTTCTACCAGTCGTCGCAGCTTCATTTATACATTTCTGCCTTTCTAAGAGTTTAGACGCACAAATCGGTTTCGCCCAACGAATTTCCCAACCTTCTTGCTCGACGATGCTATTGTGCTCTGTTGCCAAAAATAACATATTGTACGTAGAGGAGAAACGTGAGGACTTTAAAGAGATTTTAACATTGAGCGAAGAAAATATTTAATAACAAAAAAAAAATATATATATATACACGTGGACATGTATATATTTATATTATATTACTAGTATTTAATTCGTATAGAGGGATATGTGTGTGACTCACGCGACATTATGTCCATTACTTTCTGTGCGGCCTGTCGTGATTCGTAATGTATAAAGGCAAAATGATTTATTTTTTTCAACTTCAATATAGGTACACTCGTTGACTTTTGAAATATCTCCTTGACCTTTTGCTGCGGCATATTTAACGATAAATTCCTTACGAATAATGCCGTAACCTATATATGCGTGCGTCAATTAATTCGTTAAACGACATAACATATTTTTAAATTTGCTCATTTATTCGCAGCATATATTCCGATTAACGAATATAGACCAATAATGTACGTCGTACTCAAACCGTACATAAAATGGCGGGATACTAGATCGTCCAGTGGGAACATTTTTAATGATTATATTATATTCTAATGACAATGAAAAAAGAAAGAAAGAAAGAAAGGAAAAAAGAAAAAAGGATTAATGTGTCAAAAGACAAACGACGATCCGAAAAGATTTTTCTTCGACGAAGAATAAATATTCTTATGGGTTACCGATTACGAACGTTAAAAATGCCGCGAAATTTAAAATGTATGCGCGTACTTTCGTGTAAATAAGAAAATATATAAAGAGAAAGAGAGATAGAGATGGAGAGAGAAAGGAAGAAAAAAAATAACTCACGGTTTGCATGACATCCTCATCGATCGGATCACCAGGTTCAGGATCGGCCCAATCAACGGCAATTTCGTGTTCCCAAAGCATAACTCGTCCTGGGATAAGTTTTCTTCGGGCCATAGCGGCTGCCCTATGATCCTTAAACTCGACGAATATAAAACCACGATTCAATGATTTGTCCTGAGCGTTCGGATACAAATAAATATCTATTATCCCGTCGAGAAGTTTCGTCAGTTCTTCCATAAATTCCGCTTTTGTTTTGTTCTTCGGTACACCGCCAAAGAATAGACGACAATTGTCGATCGACTTGACAACGCCTATACGATGCCCCGGTCTTATTTCATAACCGTCTAACTCCATGCAAGCTCTCTTAGCTGTTTTGGAGTTTTCGTAAAGGGCAAATGCATAACCACGTGTGGATCCAGAAAAATCAAGCATCAATCTGAGTTCCATTAATCTACCGGCCTTACCGAGTACCGGCATCAATTCGTCCTCGTAACAATCGCGTGGAAGACGACCGACAAATACCTCGGCACCTTTTGCACGTTCCCTTCCGTCCCGATAGATTTCTGGCGCGGACAAACGTCTTTGACCATTTTCCTGTACCAATTCGTAATCGGTCGTTTTCAACATTTCCAACAGCTTAGCGGTCAAACGACATTCGCAATCAATAATATCCTCCATCCTTTTTATTAACTTGACCAATAATATTTATTTATTTATTTGTTTTCGTTTCGTTTCGTTTTAAAAAAATTTCTATGCAATAACGAAGGGAAAAAAGAAAACAAAAATATATATATATATGTAGATGTACATATACATATACATATATATATATATATATATGTATATATAAATAAGAGATATATTTTACAAAATATACATACACACACATATATATATATATATATATATATATATATATAATTTAACAAGCGACCGAGAAGAACTCGCAAAACCGAACGTTACTCGATTACTGGTCACTTCTTCGACGTTTTCTTCTCCCCCCTCCCAATCCCCCGCGTCACGTTCACCCCTCCTCAGCCCTCACCACTCTTAATCAGCCAAGTCCCTCTCCCACCCTATTTTCTTCCAATAAACCTATATCTATGGAACTAAGCGACGAAGTCCAATGATTCCGTGAAAAACTTGCTGTCCTTTTCTATCCACTAATGACCAATCAAAACAAAGGTAAGATGTTCGTACGTTTCGTTCGTTCGTCGTTCGTCGTTCGTCGTGCATGTTCGACCGTATAAAGATGAAGAAAGAAAGGAATATGAAAATAAGGAAGAGGAAGTAAGAAAGATCGCACCTGTACGATAGAAATATGTTTATATGGAAATATATATTATATAATATGTACTCCATATATATGTGCATGCATATATATATATATGTATATATATGTGTGAAGAAAGGAAAGAGAGAAATCTGTAACGGTTCGCCTCGACCGTTTTTCTTACGAGTATCCAATACGTAAGTAAGTTCGGCTATTTTCGGACGATAATCGAAGTTTTCGTCAGTGTTCACTTGCCTCGTAATAAGACGGACCTAATCTCGTTCCCATTATTTATTTAATTCGTATTATATTTAATATATTTCAAATTATTACGTTGAAATAATTACGATTGAGATGGTAAGTAACATTTTCTTTGTTTTTTTTTTCTTTTCCATTTGATATATCTATTTGAATAATTGTAGAAAATTATTAGAAAATGTAAATATACATGTGT